TAAAAAAAAATTAAAAAAAGTTATATTAAAATTAAAAATTATATTATAAACTAAAAATCATAATCTTTATATTTGTTTTTCATTTTGCATTGGAGTTTGTTAAAAAACTTGAGTTGACCGCTAGAAGATCTGGATGGGAGGCGTGTTTATAATTTTTAAGGCGTTAAATATTTGTTTTTCTCTACTCGAGTTGAAGTCTTTATATCTAACATATTTTTTTGAAGAAAAATAAGATGATCGTCAAGCTTTTGCGAAAATACTTGCACAACATCCGTTTCAATGACGTTTTTCCCTTTGTCCTTTGTCGATGATGATGTCGGTCTTTTCAATTTGTTCCTTCCCATTGGTCGTCGTAGGGTGACTTCCTGCGACTTCTCGGCGTCAGCATCATCATCATCATCATTATTGAGGACAAAATCAAAAACCACATCCGACTCCGAAATTCTCGCTTATTTGTTGGAGCCGGTGGATTGCGAGTGACTAAGTGAGATCAAATCGAGGACCCACTTTGGATCTTCTCGCATATTACACCACACTTTTTGATGGCCAAAGGGTTTACCACAATGGGTGGTTTTGTATTATTGAAGAACGGTGCTTAAAATGTTGAAATCATTAAACCTACTTCGACACATGTTTGTGAGGTTGATGTAGATTTCATTAAAACTTGTACAGGTAACTCCTAGCTCGTATCGTTTGCCGTTGACACCATCATAAGTCTGGTATTCAACATTTCCCATTTATGAGTGGAAGTGTGCTAGAACACGGTCCTAAATTGTCGTCCCGGTTTGGGTGTTGCTCGTCACTACATCTAAAGATATTGAAATCTAGCTTTTGATAGTGCCACTTCCTCATCTTTATCCCAATATTTTTAAGTTTTTTTTTCCTTTTCTTTGGTTTTCCTTCTTGATGATTTTCGTTGAGTTTTTGACACCCTTTCGATATCATCATTGTGGTGAGATTGGGGTTGGGAAGGTTTGGTTTAAGGTTGTTGAAATTATGAATGTTGAAATTTGTTTGGTGTTTTGTAAGGATTTGGTTGTTGGAAGTAATTTTGTTGGAAAAAAATGGTTGAATAGGCGAGTTTGTTAGAAGTAGCATTTACATGAACCCTCTGGTTGGTGATTTAAAGTATAGGTATTAGCCACGTGTTGTGTTAAATGCGTAGGGCCGGTGCGCGAAGTGGATGTGTTTGGGGTGCGTAGAGTGTTTGAGGTATCTGGATTTTGATCTATTTTTGAATGCTTGGTGAATAAAATTCTTTTTGTAGAGAGAATGATATGAGTGTAATGTGTTCTGGACTATAGTGTATGAAGTAGTTAAGTGGTATTTATAAATAGAATATTGCATAGTTTTTTTCTAACATTACCAACATTAAAAAAACAGTCATGTGACAGTTACTTCCTCTCTCTCTCTCTCTCTCTCTCTCTCTCTCTCTCTCTCTCGCTCTCTCGTAATGAAGCGTAAGTCGTCCCATGCCACTAGGTAGTTACGACCCTTAGGGGCGGTGTTCACATGTGGCTTGGCATTGCCAAGTCCTCTTACCGGTGTTGCCACATAACCATTCCATGTAGCCTTAATTCTTGTTCTTTCATTTGATGGAAAACTTGAAATATATACTCTTGTTCTTTTACTTGTAATGTTAACGAGCTTTTTTTCTTTGATTTTGAATGTTTAGGAGATTTGGAATGGAGGTTGGACTGCTAGAGTAATTATCAAGTGGAGCAAGGCATGATTGATGCTCGATCAAAAGCTCAACGTCTCTCATATTGCCAGCCGCGCTCTGATTACATTTCTTTCATTTTTTTATTTCTTTCAATATTTTAATATGTTCAATCTCTAAATTTTCAACATATCTAACCATTTCTTTCCTAGTGGTATGGGTCTTGAACCTCCTATATTTTAACTAGAACCTGTCATTTCTGTAAATTGTTTATGTAGTTTCATACGAGAGAGAGTTTGTTAAAGTTTGTTAAATACTTCTTCGATCTCATCTAACCCGTAGTTGTTTATGTAGTTTCATACTTCTTCGATCTAATCTAACCCGTAGTTGTTTGTTGATACATTTGCGTAGTTGAGTTTGTTAAATCGCACAACTGGATATCGGGCGTCGTTAGGATCCTGCAACTTACAATTAAGAAATCAACATAGTGTACTTTAATTGACACTAATAAGCATGGTGTGTTTAGCTTTACCTGATCAACAGTGACAACTGATCCAACACTATTACACCAGTAGGATTCCTTCCTTAGAATTCTAACCTTTTCGTGGAAGATCGTATTATAAACTATTAGCCGATCTTATTTTAGTGTTGATTGTATTCTATTTTAGGCATTGATCCCTTTGTTTTTGTATAAATATACTCTTAATATTCAAAGAGGAGGAGGGCATTATTTCACTCTGTATTATGGTATCAGAGCCCTAATACATCTTAAACCCTATTCTTTTCTTACCTACGGCGCATCTTCCTTAATCGTTTCCTTCCTCTTCTTCAACATCAGTCAATGCCAGGATCTGAAGATTCTTCCTCTTCAAAATCATCTCCATCTTTCTACCCTGCTTTTGGTGTTAATAACATCAAAAATTCCATACCTATTATCCTCGATCGAACTGATGGACATTATCCATCATGGATGGAGTTGTTCAATATCCATGCCTGTGCATATAATGTTCTCGATCACATCAATCCACAAGCCAAACGACCCGCTGACGTTGACGATTCTACATGGCTGCGACTAGATGCCATTGTCAAACAATGGATTTTCGCCACAATCTCACCTGATCTTAGACAAACGATCCTGAAACCGGGTGCTTCTGCCCTTGAACTCTGGAATCGTCTTGAAGAAATTTTTCAAGACAATAAAGCCACTCGAGCAGTGTATTTAGAAGAGCAGTTCAACACCACACGTTCTGACTCTTTCTCCAATCTTACTGATTATTCCTCTCGCCTCAAGAATCTCGCTGATCAACTCGCCAATGTGGGTAACCCTATCTCTGAAACTAAAATGGTGTTACAACTTATCGCAGGTTTGACTAAAGGTGATTATGATACTATAGCAACCCTCATTCAACAAACTGAACCTCTACCAAGCTTCAACAAAGCCTGCTCTCAGTTAATTCTTGAAGAAACTTGCCGCAACAATCAGTCTTCTCACACACCGCAAGCCCTAATCACCAGCTCTGCCGCTCCAAAAGTGTCAGCTTCCTCCTCTGATACTAACCACCAGCCTTTTAACTTCAATAATGACAGCAACCTAACTCGTGGTGGTGGCAGGGGAGGCAATCGTGGCGGTAGTCAGCGGGGAAGTAGAAGTCAGCGAGGAGGAAGAGGAAGGGGGCGTGGACGATTCAATGGGTCTCCATCTCACAATTACGGGTCCAACTCTTACCCTTGGTATAACACATGGACTTACCCTACTTCTTCATGGGCCATCCCACCTTGCCCTTATCCTACTGCGGCCCAACACCCTTCTCAATTGGGTCTTCTTGGCCCAGCACCTACATCTCAAATTCGTCCTCAACATCCTACTACCCCCCAAGCCCATTACACAGCTGAGCATGGTACACCAATGACCCCAACTCAACTTGAAACCGCTTTCAACACCATGCATCTTCGCCAACCAGATAACTCTTGGTATATGGACACCGGGTCGACTTCTCATCTCACCAACAACTCAGGTAATCTTTCCCATTATATCTCTTTGAGTAATCCGCATTCTATTTTAGTTGGTAATGGCACAAATATTCCTAGCACTGGTCAAGGTTCCACCATCCTCTCTTTCCCTAATCGTTCTTACTCTCTCCATAATGTTTTCCATGTTCCCCAAATTATTAAAAATTTGGTTTCCGTAAGAAAATTTACTCGGGATAATTGGGTTTCCATAGAATTTGACCCTTTCGGTTTTTTTGTGAAGGATTTTATCACGAAGAAGGTTCTTACGAGGCACAATAGTACCGGTGATCTTTATCCCTTCACTCTCGCCAATGTCAACAACGAGCCTTCTTCTTTATCTCTTCATGTTGTTTCTTCTTCAACTTGGCACAACCGCTTTGGTCATCCCGGGAATTCTGTTTTCAATTTGCTTAGGACTAGTTTTTCAAATTCTGGTGTTAAATTTGATTACTCTTGTAATGCTTGTTCTTTAGGAAACATTGTCGTTTACCTTTCTCTCCATCTCAAACTTTTACTTTTGCTCCGTTTGATATAATACATGCTGATTTATGGACATCTCCTGTTGCTTCTAAACTTGGTCATAAATATTATTTAGTGTTGCTTGATGATTTCTCTCATTTTACATGGACGTATCCCTTACAATCAAAATCTCAAGTCTTCTCAATTTATCAACAGTTTCACACGTTTATTCAAACCCAGTTTCATAAAACCATCAAAAACCTTCAATGTGACAATGGTAGAGAATTCAATAACTATATGTTTACTCAGTTTTTCATTAAAACTGGTACTCAATTTCGGTTCACTTGTCCTTATACCTCGCCTCAAAATGGCAAAGCTGAACGAATCATTCGCACAATTAATAACATGATTCGAACAAATCTTCTTCAAGCTTCTCTACCTCCTTCCTTTTGGCACCATGCTCTCTCTGTTGCCACATACCTAATCAACATCTTACCTTCTACTGCCATCAAAAACAAAACACCTACAGAAATTCTTTACTTACGCAAGCCCACATACTCTCATCTTCGTACTTTTGGGTGTCTTTGTTATCTTAATATTTCCTCTACTACACCAAACAAATTAACCCCAAGATCGATACCCTCTATCTTCCTTGGGTATCCACCTAATCACCGTGGTTACCTATGTCATACTCTCTCCGATAACAAACCTATAATTTCACGCCATGTCACATTCAATGAACAAACCTTCCCTTATCAAAATCGATCTCCTTATCCTCCTTCTTCGTATGACTTTCTAAATGATATACCACCTTCTCCTTATTTATCCTATCATTCTCAACAGCCTCCTACCACTAGTACCAACCACAATACTAGTGCCACTGTTCCTCCCTCTCAATCCTTACCAACCATCCCTCGTGGACCTCCATCTCTTCCACCACCACCACCACCACCACCACCATCACCACCACCACCAACTCGTGTCCCTCCTATGCATACACGATCTCAAAGTGGGATACGTAAACCCAATCCCAAATATGCCCTTCACTCTAGTTCTATTTCTCGTATTCCTATTTCTCCAAAGGCAGCCCTACTTGACCAAAATTGGAATTGTGCTATGACCAATGAATTTAATGCTTTACTTAAACAAAATACATGGGATTTGGTTCCTCGTCCACAGGATAACAATGTAATTGGTTGCCATTGGATTTTTCGACATAAATTTAATTCTGATGGGTCTCTTGAGCGATACAAAGCTCGTTTGGTTGTTAATGGTAAATCACAAGAAGTTGGTGTGGACTATGACGAAACGTTTAGTCCCGTTGTCAAACCTGCAACAATCCGGACTGTTCTTAGTCTTGCGTTGAGTCGTCACTGGCCTATTCACCAACTTGACGTCAAAAATGCTTTTCTCCATGGGAATCTCAAGGAAACAGTCTACATGCACCAACCTCCAGGTTTTGCGGATCCAAGTTTTCCCGGATATGTTTGTAAGTTACGCAAGTCTTTATATGGGCTGAAGCAAGCACCACGAGCTTGGTATCAATGATTTTGCTCACTACTTGCTTAGTATTGGTTTTGTTTGTAGTAAGAGTGACAACTCTTTGTTTATCTTTCGGAAAAATAATGAATATGCTTATCTACTTGTGTATGTCGATGACATAGTTCTGACAGCCTCTTCAAATCAGCTCAAGGCGCAGATCATATCTTCCCTAAAATCTGAGTTTCACATGAATGACCTCGGTAAACTCACTTACTTCTTGGGTATTTCGGTTAGCTACTCTAAAGGCGGTATGTTTCTTTCACAACAAAAATACGCAGGTGAAATTCTCAAGAGAGCTACCATGGAAAACTGTAAACCGGTAGCTACACCCACAGACACTAACTCTAAGCTCAGTTCCTCGGTTGGTGATCTTGTCGCTGATCCTAGTGTATATCGCCAGTTAGCCGTTGCCCTACAGTATCTAACTTTTACCAGACCCGACATCGCCTATGCTGTTCAACAAATATGTCTCTTCATGCATGCTCCACGGGAACCCCACTTAAATGCTTTAAAACGCATTCTCCGTTATTTAAAAGGTACTCTTCACCTCGGCTTGCATCTATATTCTAGCAAGCCATCTCAGCTTATTGCATATACTGATGCTGATTGGGGTGGTTGTCCCGACACACGTCGTTCGACATCAGGATATTGTGTGTTCCTAGGCGATAATTTGATTTCATGGTCCGCTAAACGACAACCGACTCTGTCCCGCTCAAGTGCTGAAGCTGAATATCATGGGGTGGCTAATGTTGTTGCCGAGGCTTGCTGGTTGCGTAATCTTCTTCTTGAGCTTCAAACTCCTCTCAAGACTGCTACTTTGGTTTATTGTGATAACGTCTCTGCTGTCTACTTATCCGGTAATCCAGTACAACACCAACGCACGAAACATATTGAAATAGACATTCACTTCGTCCGGGAAAAAGTTGCCCTTGGTCACGTTCGTGTTCTACATATCCCTTCCGCCTATCAGTATGCAGATATTTTCACCAAAGGATTGCCTCGTCTTCTTTTCTTGGACTTCAGATCCAGTTTAAGCATACGTCCTCCTCCTGCTCCAACTGAGGGGGGCTATTAGCCGATGTTATTTTAGTGTTGATTGTATTCTATTTTAGGCATTGATCCCTTTGTTTTTGTATAAATATACTCTTAATATTCAAAGAGGAGGAGGGCATTATTTCACTCTGTATTATAAACATGACATTCTTTAAGCGATGAACAAATTTAACCAATTTATGTGAAACTTCTTATGGTAGTTAACTTATGATACGAATTGATGGTTGAAAGTAATATATGTTGCTTTAATCAGAGCATTTACATACTTGTGTTCCTCTTTTGGGTCCAATCGGAGGTGGTTTAGACTTGTCTTCATCGGTATATGTAGCACCGGCGGCCACTGGCGCCGCAGCTTCTTCAGCAGCCTTCACAACCAATCGCGAGCTTCTTGTGTTCTTGGAAGGAAACATTACCATTGCGGACTTAATTGTGAATGTTTCAAAGGTGCTGCTGATGTTTGATTTCACCACAAATCCAGAAGCAGCATATGTAATACTGCAGAATGCCATTTCGCTCGAATGTGAAGTATTAGATTCGGAAAATTGTGGAAATGTCAACACTCAACAGGTACTGCAATTGAATTTTAGAGGGTTATAGTTAATTGGGGGTATGATCTTCTTGGAGTTGCGTTCGATCTAACCACTATCGTGTTGCCACGTGTACATAAAATATTTCCTTTTGATAACGTTCGCCAACATTTCGCTTGTTAAACTCGGCTCATTGGGCTTTGTTTATGTTTGTCCAATGGGCCTATTGAGTTTGGGTACAAATTATTTAATTATTTATTTGAAATGTCACAAAATAGATTTTAATATTTAGATAAAAAGTAATAATTTTTATGACTATTTAATAATCTAGAAGTTAGGAGCAATAATCACTTTTATACAACCATTATATATCAATGGTATTAAAATTGATTACCAATGGTCATGTTAGATTGCCTATTTATTGATTATTTATTAATTTTGTTTAACCATCTCTCTCTCTAAATTTGGTTAGGGGTCGTTTGATAGAGGTTCTGACCGGGTCCAAACACGGGAGCATTCTAGATATGAGTTGAGGCCCAATTGACATGCCATACTCATACTGAGGGCTCGAGAGCATTGCATATATGAGCTAAGGGCCCGAATGGCATGTCAGACTCATACTGAGGGCTCGGGGGTAATCCAGTCTTTCTAGTTGTGGACCCAATATATGTTGTTATATGTGTGTGTTGGTACTTTCGGGGAACTCATTAAGCTTTGTGAGGATCGTGGGTAATCCAGTCGTTTCAGGTACTTCAGAGGATCGTGGAAAGGCAAAGGCGTGATCATACACAACTTCTTCTTTTATGTCACTTGGTGTTTAGACAACTCTATTTTGAAATAATGTTTTTTAAACAATGACTATTTTTGTAAACAATGTTGATTAATGGTTGGTTCCAAAAATTTTAAATTTATTGTGATTTTTGAGTGTTACATTTTTCCCGCGAACATTTTAAGTAGCCACGACGTGCAGTTTATTGGATACGATGTGGCAGCGTCCCAGGATCAAACCCTAATTTTCCAAGCTTAAGGCCATATTTAAAGGATGTAGTGGCTAGGGTTTCGTTCACCCTCAGTCTCTGTGACATTCCAATTTTCACGGCCAGAAAAGACTGATTTGTTTATGCTTTATTTAAAAATCAAAGTAACTTTTTAAAGAAAGTGTTGCGGAATTTGTTCCCAAAAATATGATAAAGATTTTATCAAAAGCATTTCCGAAGAAATGTATTTCATTATATTAAAACTTTGGGATGTCATTGTCAATACAGATCAAAAGCATAAACCAAAACAACATATGTCTTACAACATTTATTTATATCTACTAGCCTATAATCCATAAACTCTCATCCGATCATCACATATATGCTCTTGTGCCACTACCTGTAATACAAGAAACTGAGTGGGTCAGGCTTGGGAGCCTGGTGAGCATATAGGGTTTTCAACCCACAATAATTATGTTTATTAGTTTCATCACATCAATTCAACCCGATTACCCATTCTCGTTATCCTCACTTTCTGTCCCTAAAGCATCTAATTCAAGGGACCTAGCCTAAGGATTTTCATCGGGATGGACACTACTGCTAAGGGGGTTCCTCAGCAATAAACGTTCGTAAGGCAACCATGAGGGGGATGGAGTACATCAGTGAACACATCGTTCACAAACACCTACAGGTTGCGAGCATGTCAACGTTCCACTAGACTGTCTAGAATAGTCCGTGGTCGTCATCTATACTCTGCTAGATGACGGGATCATCATAAACATCGAGGCCTCTCATCATTTTATTTCATCACACATTAGCTATTTCATCTACCCATGTTCTACCCTACATATCCGTAGATATAAAATACATATGCAGTTTAAATCATTTAAAACATGTATAAATCGTTCATCCAGCATAGATATCAAGAACACAGACAATATGCACACATAACACGTAATTTATATTAAATACTTCATATATATGTGTAAGTTGAAAGTAACTATGCACTCACCTGTTAAAGTGGTGATTCCCACTTGGACAACGCTTCGCTTCTTAATAATATAATTTCTTTTGACGAAACCTAATATTAGTACCACTAGATTTTAGTATAATATTTATTGCGACTAATTACGAGCGTTATTATTTTATAAGTGTTAAACAATACTTTTCAACCACTATGTATAAACAGGGGCCAGACATGAAACACCGGAGGGCAGGACCATTTTGGCATTATAGCACTTCTGAAATCCAACAACCCTATGCGGCCCTTCAAACCAGATTCCCCGAACCGCGAGTAGTTAAAAGATATTATAATAACACTTTATATATTATATTTTAATATATATATATATATATATATATATATATATATATATATATATATATATATAAGTTCATAATAACAATAGTAAATTTAAACCTAACCTATACTTAAAGTAGGGTAAGCATAGCTCACTTACTGGGAGGTTTGGCTAGAAACCGGGCTCTGCGGGAGCAGAGTTTCCGAGCCGAAAAAGCTCTTTTTATTGGAGCCTTCTGGAACTCCGGGGCTTTCTTCTAGCACTTAGAAGATACTAGAGGTTAGGAGGGCTTAGAGAGAAGTTATAGGGAGAAGAGAAAGGATTTGGTGTGAGAAATGAAGGAGACCCTCGCACCCCTTGTATAAGCCTGATCTTCGGTCTACGTTGGGCGTACTCTCGGAGTACGCTGCACGTACACTACGCTTCGTGTACGAGGCGACGCTCCGCGTAAGAAGGGACATGTGGCGAGATTCGGGGGGGGGGGGGGCGACATGGTTGATCCGGAGCCATGGCTTGCGAGACCACGGGGCATACATGTTATGTACGCGGGGGGTACCCTGTACCCTCGCAACAACCTTATCAATTTTCTAAATTCCGTAACTTTCGCATACGAGCTCCGTTTTCGACGTTCTTTATATCCATGCGTAGGTGGCGACGTACTCTACAACTTTTGTTTAGACTCCATCGGCTAATTTTGACTTTATTTTTAAAGTTATATTTTTAACAGGCCTGGACATGTAAAGTCTGTTAAAAATTCATAACTTTGTCATCCGACGTCCGTTTTCGTCTGTCTTTTAATCGTTGAGCTCCTATTAACGAGATCTTCGATTCTCGTTTAGGTTGTGTCGGCTAAAAATTGGTCGATCTAATATTCGAATTCCGGGCTGCATACTACTATGTCAAATCTTAGAAAAATCATAACTTCCTCATACGAAGTCGGATTTGGGCGTTATTTTTATTCACGCTCTCGGTTTAACGTACACTACGACTTTCATTTATATCGATAAGGCTAAAAAGTAATTTATCATAAACTCACTTTTTACGTCATAGAGCGTCGTGCCGGTTTTGTCGCGAAACTTCGACAGGTCATAACTTCTTCGTTATAACTCGGATTTCGGCGTTCTTTATATCTCCGGAATCCTCGTCACGACCAATACAAATTTCTTCTTAGATATTGGGTTTATCTAGTATTTTATTTTTTATGCTTATATTTATTCTTAACTTATTATATCTTATAAATAAGTATAATACACATAAAATCACATAATTCACATAATATTCAAGTAATTCCTCTTTATTACTTCAAAATAGGTTACAATTGTTGACCCTAGCTATTAAATCATCATACTAATGCTTAGCCTAGAAACACGGACGTTACAGTCTCCATCACCCTCCAAGTCCAGAAATCAAACCCTAGCCTCTTTGTGTGTGTTTTGAGTGTATAAGCACATTTTGTGATGGTTGAAGAGAATAAGGAGTCTCTCTTGTTGCTTGTGCGTTTGGTTCTAATTTAGATCCATAATCTTCATCACATGTCTGATCATTTGGAGGTATAAAGTTGATATGTTGTTCATTAAATCACTAGATCTACTATTATGTCCTTTTATGAGCGTTGGTCCTTTGGTGAAGTTTGAATGGTTGGTTACCTTAAAGTTTGCAACTTTATTGGTCTTAGGAGTCTCAAATGCCTTATATGTTTCGAATCTGAACTCTTGTGAAGTTTTACTGCCATGCATGGAGTTTAGAGTCCATTTCGTACCGTTTTGTCCATGTTTGAGTAAAGGACATGCATGTCCATAAAGTTTGGATTTTTATGAACCTTTAGGGTCCCTAGAAGCCTTCTAGAATGTTTGAGAAAAGGGCTTATCAGATTAAGAGCTTAATCAATTAAGTTGTCATCAGCCAGAAACCACGATGTGGCAAGATGCTCACCACGACGTGGTGACGGAGGGTCCCGCAACTGTTTTGTTGGGTTGCTGCCATGACTTGATGGCATGTTTGTCATGACGTGGTGGCAGAGTTGGTTGTGACTATATTGAGTAGCTACGACATGGTGGCTATTGACCATTGACTTTTGACCAAGTTAACTTTTGGTTAACTGAGTAGTTTTAGATGATGGTCTATGTTTTGGCCTTGAATGTTTCATTAGGTGGTGTGTAGCACTAGTTACTCTCTGTACGAGCTTTGTGTTGCCGACTTCGAGTGTGAGGTGAGTCTTCTCATTATACTATGTTGGATGCTAGTTGTCTTTGTGACTCTTGCATGAAAGACCAGGGTCTGGACCCTGGAAATTGTATGAAATAACAGTATTTGACCCCTAACAATTGCATGGAAGACCAGGATCTGGCCCCTGAAACTTGTATGTAAGACCATGATTTGGCCCATGGATAGAAGTGATTGTAAGACTATGATTTGGCCCATAGCATTCACTTGGGTTTAAAATAGACCTGCAACAGTGTGTATGGTATGTGGTATTTTAGGGAACTCACTAAGCTTTGTGCTTATGGTTTTATGTTTAAATGTTTCAGGTACTTCTGGTTCGAAAAGGAAGGGTCTGGCTTGATCGCACTGCATCCCCTGGAGATTTCCGCATTATCTATTTTATGATTTTGCTCTAATGTTTTGAGAATAAATTAAATTTTGATTATCTTTTGGAATGATTGAATGAATGATTTTGGTTAATGGAAAAATGAAAGTTTTACCT